TGTTAGTAAATATTTATTTATTTATTACTGTCAATGTGTAAAAAGTCTCTCCCTTAATTAATTAGTTTCCATATTTAAAACATTAACACATAAATAATAAATTATTGAGACTTAAAAAAAAATAAAGCTTAGATTGTGCAAAAAGATGTTCTGTTATGGGTGCGACAAACACGCACAACATTAAATACACGTACGACATTGAATATTAAAATGATTCACATACTCATTCCACAGGCCTTTGAATCTGAGCCATGACACAAAAGTCAGGGTCATGAACTATCAGACCCACAAGGCGATACATAAGTTATAATCAACTTGTATAAGTGGCTCCTCGTTTCAGAATGTGTATTTTAATAACCACATTTTTACCTTAACTCCTGTTTTTTTTCTCAATAAACCTCTACCAAACTTCTTTAAATTTCCTTTAGCTCCCTGACTAGCGGTCTGATCGTCCACCAGCTCGACAGGTCCAATATCGCTTACAGAAAAGGTAGTGTCATCAGGTGACTTCACTGTGTCATCTATGCATATAACATCATCGCTGGTAAATGTACATTTGCTGTCAGCTAAATCTATTGTCACATAGGAATCCGAATTAATTTCCTTAGTTAAATTAATTGTTTCTACATTTAAATCCTGTGTGCCTTTCGCATTGTTTGTCAAGTGATTATGGTTCATGTCCATACCAGTCAAACTCTTTGGCTTTGGAGTCGAACACTGTTTACTCGGATTTGGCGAAAAGGCTATTATAGAACAATCTTCATCATCGCTTATGACCAACATTTCATCACTATCAGTCTTCTGTTGTATTTTGTTGTTTATAACTGTTGTGCATTTGGAATCGTTTGAGGAGATTGTGCCTTCTGAAATTTTACTCAGTGCTTTTTTATTCTCACGTAAATTTCTAAATACTTTTGTTATGGTTCTGTTCAATTTTTGTCTTCCCGTTTTCTTCAGAAAGGTTTTTTGGACATTAGACAGTCTTCTGATTTCCATTTTGGAATCCTTTAGTGATGTTTTCGATTTCTGTAATAATAAAATTAGTAAATCCATTATTATTTTTTAATTTAACATTTAAAATAATTATAGTGTTGTACAAAATAATTTGTTTTTATGTATATTTCCATGATGTTAAACGAAAATCGTAACACTATTGAAGAGAGAGACACTTATATAGAAAAAAACATATCAGTGCAAAATATTTATTTGACTGCATTTGGAAGCCATTTAAACACAGCTGTTGCCTTGGGATTTCCATACTGTATCCCAGGTTAGATAGGAATATAATGAATGTCCTTGGCACTGAGTAGGGAGATATTGATGTCCTTCCGATCTAGTGGATATTGATTCTAGTGAGTATGGGCTATGGCTTAACAACAAACAAAACTGATATCCTAGCAATTCCAGATAAGTAACAACAGCCACAATAATAGTAAGCAAAACATTAAGGGTAAGTATAGTGAAATAATAGCTTTTGAAATAACATGTTTATCAGTAAAATAGTCTGCATTTAATTCTGATGTTGGTAAAATAAGTAAAGTACATTAATAATTATAATAGTTCATCATATCATAATTCAAGTAATTATAATAATTTTTTTTTATTGCTTAGATGGGTGGACGAGCTCACAGCCCACCTGGTGTTAAGTGGTTACTGGAGCCCATAGAAATCTACGACGTAAATGCGCCACCCACCTTGAGATATAGTTCTAAGGTCTCAGTATAGTCACAACGGCTGCCCCACCCTTCAAACCGAAACGCATTACTGCTTCATGGCAGGGTGGTGGTACTTACCTGCGCGGACTCAATAGAGGTCCTACCACCAGTAAGTATTCCATACATACACCAATTTAATGTTCCCAGTTAATATTAATTAAGCTTGAATATGACCAAGCGATTCATCAAGTGACATATCATACTAACCTTTTGCTCAAGCATGAAAGCTTAGACAAAACAAGCAATTAGAGAACTTGAAGCTGTAGCAGATTATGACATACCTATGTTGTTTGTGTATATTCTAATTTATAGACTTACGAGCATTAGTATAGTCTATACTATTAGTAGTGAAACCTGGCTAAGCTCTACTGTGTTTATTTAACATATCATTTAAATAATATAATATTTATAACATAACGTAAGTTTTTAGTAACATTAATTTTGTGTTAGTCCCAGGCACCATTATTATTGCCAAAATTGGATACTTTTCATAATATAAAGTGTGTTTAAATAGCTCAACAATGTTCCATGTGTAGCCATAACACGACACTGGCAGAAATTGCTGAAAGTATCGGCAGATTGCCATTAAAAAAAAAAAATTATAACACACTCACACGTACGTACTATATTCCTACAGATCGCTCTTCCTGGTTAACTTACTTTACCTGGTGACCTAGCACTGAACCACTGACTTTTGTAACACAGGTTTTCCTAGCATAAAAGTCAGGGAATATTGTTATTGTATACCTCATAAAAAACCCATGTATATTATTATTATAATAGTGTTAAGAATTCTTGTACATATTTGTATTTTAAGAGGCTTGAATAAATATTATTTATTATTATTATTTCATTTTGTTCATAATATTGTTATAGAAACCTTTTTTGTGCATAGATACATGATACAATGATTGTGAATGGTTACCATTAGTTATGGATATCAGTGATTCCAAGAACCAAGCCGCTGAAGACTACATAGTTTTAATAAGCCTTCTTGGAGTGGGAACTGCAACTGCGCCAAGTTTCATCACAATCGTAAGAACAGTTCATGAATGCACAGAGAATAAGCATAGAAATATTTCTATTTACGTAGATTCACTAATTTTGCTTTTTAGTATTAGGCTGTTTTTTGGAATACTTATTTCACAAAATGAAATCTTAAAGTTTAATCTTACTTAGAAACCTGATGGAACAAACAACCATTCACGAAAAATATAACGTAACGATAACCTTCTTAACTTTAGTAAAGATTCCTTAGTTATAGATTGTACAAAAAAATTAAGTTGAGAAAAGAAGGTTTTTTCCAAAACATACATACAGACTGCTCTTTTTAATCGTGCGTAACAAATTAGTTTTGTTCATATTTTGGTTATATTGTCAAACAATCAACAAGTTAATTAAGCAAGTTAATCCGCGTAGTGTTTTAAGAAAAGCAATACATTCAGCGCATTACAAAGCGGCAGCGTTTCCCACGTGAATTATTTTCACTAAATAACTTTTACCTGTTTATTCATTTTCGTTGACAAGAGTTAAAAAAATAAAAAAAACTAACGGATTTCAAAGACGACGGCTTGCCCATATCGTATAACTTCGATTTATTAAAATACTAAGTAAGATGAAAGATCACGAGTAAAATTTAAACCGATTTTAATTATTATGGTGTTTTACTGCATTACATTGTAGAATTGTAGGTAGATACTACATTCGCAAATATGTCGTTCAGAAAATTTAATTTATGGCATCAATGTCAAAAATGTCAATAATTCACAGAAAAAGAATATGGCTCGCTGCCCTAAGATAGCGATGTCCTCGCGAAATCCCGATCATGCGCATACCATCTAATCGATCCTAATCGGATAGAACTTTTTCAATCCTGACTACGGATCGGTTCAAGTTTAGTAAATATTGGATGGGATCGCAGTACAAAATTGTAATTTCCGTTGAAGCGGAGGCTGGGATAGGTATTTTGCCCAAAAATTTTGGCTACCGTTGAGTATCACTAATCGATAGGTAAGTACGTCCCTAACATCAAACTTGACTGGCAGAAATTAAGTTACCTACTAAGTATACTAAATAAATAAATAAACTATATTAGCGCCAAACAGGGAACCATTGGAAAGTTAAAAAGAGCTGTCGCCGTACTTATTATACACTTAATATTTAGGAGCTGTTGCATCTGTTCGGTATGTAGTAGTAGTTAGGTAGGTACGTAGGATCTATTAATCTGTGCTGTGCTTACATATTATGACTGTGCTTCTACTTTAAATTTCCTGAATAAGATAGATATGAAATACCTTCGATCAATAATACTATTATTGATCGAAGTGAAATACCGTATACGAGATTGTATTTTATCAACTTTTTGTTTGTTTTTTTTTTCCTACCTAAGCTGATAGTCTTGAGAGGCTATTTCAGCGTAACCTTAACTAGTAGGTGAGCTCACGGGACTCAAACCTGACGACGTTGCTAACACGAACCATAGGAAGAGCCGTGCTTCGCAAAATCTACCACCGGATCGGAAACGCGACCCACTGAGAAGATCCGGCGAGAAACTCAATGGGCTGTGTCTGTGGGTTAACTTACTCGTCGAGCCCTCGGGTTCGACGAGAACGATGACCGTTCTATCTATGTATGTACCTATTACATAAATACCTACCTAATACCTACTAGACAGAGGCAGAGACTTTTGTTTTGTTTCTATTATCAGTACAGACAGGCAAAAGGAATAAAGCTCATACAACCAAACGTTTAAAAGGAAACGCGGATCTCGATTTTTGGGCCAGAAGTGAAAGAAACCAATTGAAAGAGTGGGAATTTATTGAAACTTGATTGAGCTTTTTGGAAGAAACCCAAGAAATAGTTTTGTTGTATTTTTCTATGCTTCACCACTCTCACAAATACTAAACGCCTTATTATCCAGTATGACTACAATCTTGAACCTAAAGAACCTTTTTGAGTGCGATTAGGTGACAATTTGATCCATCAAATTATGGGTATTAATATGGTATTAATACCCTCCGCGTCCATGTTCCGTTCCGTTGAAGAGTGTAGTCAGTATCTTAAGATTTATTTGTATTCAAGATCTGAGAGTGCTTTCTTCTCTTGTTTGTGTGTAAAGCAAGAAAACATCCAACATCCCTAATATATAAGTCATATGTGTTTAATTATTTATTTTTTTATCAATCTGTTTGTACCAATTCAAGAGATTCACACAGAATTTAATTAAGAAATCATAAAAATAATATATGTATCATAATTATTAAAAAAAAACGCGTATCAAGTATATAGCACAAGTAAATATTTATTTTTTATTTTTTCATATATTGTTTGCAGGTAATGTACATAGAAATGCTCTGAGGAATTATTGGGGTTGATCCCTTTATCTTCTTTTTGCCATCGCACCTCCGCCATCGGAGCAGAGTTCATTCATTCATACCTTTGACCTGTTATCGCTAGACTAGTTCAGACACAATTCGTTTCCGGAGATCTTTATTGCCACGTAACATCTGATTTTGGAGTAAATTCCTTTCGATGGTTGTTTCGTTATGACTTAATCTTCTTCAATCCAAGCTCCGTAAGAGCAACTTGGCTCCAGAAATTAAAAAAAGCCGAAACTAAATGTACCTTGTAAACATGCTTAAACTTGTTTTAGCTACGTTAGTAATTTCGGCAGCTGTACTGATTCGCTCTTCTTTAATTTCATTTGCAGTACTCTTTTAAATGGATGCACCGGATTTGTACTGAAAGCGATTAAAAAAAAAGAAACATGTGTGCAATTCACACGTATTAGAAGTGAAACCTTCAAAAATTAAAATACAATTATCCTAAATGTCTAAGTATATGTAAAATTTTGTCATTAGTAAATAATTGTAACTCATATTTTATAGTATGAGGTAGCGCCCTATGTGAATCGATATTTTAACGTCACGTATAATCCTAAATTGAAATTCACTACAGTAGGTTTCATACGCGCGCTAGTATTAAAAAATCTCATAGATGGCGCTGTATTAAAATTTTTCGACACTTCCGTTGCATACCTGCGTGACGTTACATCTGTAAAAATTTTACCTTCATGCGCCCTAAAGAAGTTTCACTTCAATAAATGAAAATAATACAGTTTTTGAAACAGTACCGGTAACAAAATCGTTGTCTGATTTCAAATAAAACTCACCTAGATGTTTCTTTGGGAATTCCAATTATTTCCATCGCATCTTTGAAATAAATCTGTTTTTTTGTAAAAGGTCTATCCTTATATTCCATGTTCTTCAAATTAGATTCCTATAAAAAAAGTTATTAAATATTTTAAATTGTGAACGTTTATGAACAAGGCACCCGAAAAGCATTCTTTCGTTTTAAGTATACAAAAAATTATTTATTCCAATTTTGTTTATTATTATTTAAAAAAATCCATAACGGTAGATTGTGAAGCTTATTCTATGATAACGATAAATATTATGTTTAGTTTATGTAGGGTAGAGGTAAGGAGAACCGTCTCTGTATTTGAAAAAGTGTTCGTTAAAATCTGCTAAATAAGGGTGGCGCTACAGTAGTAACCGGGTAAATTTAAAAAAAGGCGCTATAAGTTAATACACCGGTCACTCACATGCGCACGAATACGCAAACCCGCAAGTGTGGGACGACATTTGCAAATGATTATGCAAAGTTTTCGCTGCATTCGTGGTTTTCCAAGCTGTGTCGGTTTTTTAACAGACATCAAAACGCGCGAACCTCGAACCTTCGCGTAGTCTCCCACACATTCGCTTGCCCAGTTGCGCCGACGATTGCGAAGGTAACGGACGTATCGCCATTTTCATAGTTCGTGTAGTATAATAATATATACTGTGTAGCGTATCTTCATCAAAAGAAATCCCATAAAAACATCATGGCTGTTAATGATGTCTGGGAAAGAATTCAAAACTCTTTTTCTCTTCAATGTTCTATTGACGAATTAAAAAGGAGGAGAATTTCGTGAGACATTCGTAAACAAGTGTAGGAAGAAGCGCAAACGGGTTCGCAAATTGAGTATGCGAACCCATTTGCACAGCCGCTAGGTTTGCGAATGAATGTTTGACACACAGGCCCTTCACATGCGTGCAAACATTCGTACAATGTACGAATATTTGCGCGCATGTCAGTGGCCGGCATTAGAATAATATAGAGAAATAAAAAAGGACGAAAGAACTGTAAGCACTACAAAATCACAAAAAGTATTTATTTTATTTAAAGCTGATAAAAAAATGCAATCGATGTCTCCACGTTTTACCACAGCAATAATTTTAGGTTATATTAACGAAATTAGTTTGGACTACATAAACATGTGAGGTCTTGTATATTATATTGTCACTAACTAGGTACCTTCTCTAGTCATTAAATATATTAAATTTCCTAACTCAGCATACTTCAATCAGTTCAAAACTGCTCAATTCATATCATACTCTGTGCCTATGCTAGCGCCAATCTGGAGGATTTTTGAACTGTTATTTAGTGCTGAAAGTGAGACACTTTTTTTTATTGCCTTTGTAGGCAGATGATGCACACGGCCCACCTGATGGTGAGTGGTTACCGTCGCTCATGGACTTCAGCAATGCCGGGGCAGAGCCAAGCCGCTGCCTACCGCTTTTTCAAGCTTCTCCCATATGGAGACGGTTCTCCTTACTTCGACCCTCCATAGTTTAGTTAAATGCCAATGTCTTTGTTACTTTTCTTTCTACGCAAGTAGCACTTAAATAAGTAGTTAGATTTTCATGAATTAACTGAATTAAAAGAAACCTGCCAAATATTTTTGATTCTGTCTTATATGATTTGTAAGATCGTTTCTATATTCTATCTGTCTCCGCAACTCTGTGTTGGCATCATTTATTTTGTCCTGCATTTCCTTCAACGCCGTCCTCTTAACTAATTCCATCTTTTCTTCTCTTTCCCGCCTACAATTGATCATCTCACTGTGCAGTTCATCTAAATGCTGCCTATATTCTTGATTCGCTTTCTGAAAATATCGAAACGTTTGAAGCATTCTGGGAGGTTCTACTGAAATGTTTGGTAAATCTATGTTATTAAAATTGAATTAGGCATAAAGGAGACAGAAAATCGTGGGCCCAAAATGTATATATATAATAACTTGGAATGTAGTCTAAAAATTTTGTCATATTTTTTTATATAAGAATATAAAAAAATACCTTAATGCTTTTACTGGGACCAGAGAAAAATGAGAAACTTAGTTTTTGTCGGTTTAGCGGTGTGATCGATTTAATTAATCGATTACAGGATTATAAAAAGAAAAACATTGCACTAGGTAATTAATGGTTTCCTAATTCGGTGAGTTGCATGTATCGAATTTCAGGAGGAAAGAGCTTAGAAAACGCCATGGAGGAGAGCTTGTTCCAGAGCCAAAAAGTTTAAGTAAAGCATTGTGTTACTAATAACATAAAAAGTGATACAATATAATGGATGATACAGTTAAAGATATCGGATATTCGCTATGTCGATCATGCACTTATATGGCCTAATTACATACTACCAGTGTATGCCAGGTTGTCGTTAAAATAACTGGCATGTTAAGACTTAAATTTAATGTTCTCTTTTGTATTACAAATCGCGATCTACCTACTTACCTGTCGTTTAATTCTATTTTCTTCTTCTGCCCTTCTATAAATTTCATCCGCCTTTTTCTCCTCTTGTTTTTTCCATTCAACTGCTGCTCTTTCTGCTTCATTATCGAGGGCCGAAGCGATATTTCTCTCGTTTTTGTAGTTTTGTAGACATATCTGTTTTTCAACTTGAAGATTTCGCTGAAATATTAGGAATCAAGATAAAGAGTTGAATAAATCAATTAGCTTATAGCATGTCATTTCTGTTCAATAGCCTGTCAATGGAAAATGTTTTTACTGGTGGGAGGACCTCTTGTGAGTCCGCGCGGGTAGGTACCACCGCCCTTCCTATTTCTGCCGTGAAGCAGTAATGCTTTTCGGTTTGAAGGGTGGGGCAGCCGTTGTAACTATACCTGAGACTTTAGAACTTATATCTCAAGATGGGTGGCGCATTTACGTTGTCGATGTCTATGGGCTCCAGTAACCACTTAACACCAGGTGGGCTGTGAGCTCGTCCACCCATCTAAGCAATAAAAAAAACCTATTCACATTCGACTGTGTGCTTATTGCGAGTTTTTGAACGATAGCAGTTTGTATGCAGTTGGAACAGCGCCCTTAGCGGCAAACGTAGGCAAACGTTCCAACTCCATACAAATTTGAGTTAACTTTTACGCTATCGAGAACGTTAAAAAACTCGCACTAAGCAAACTGATCATTAATTTCTAAAATTTGATTTGATTTGAGGTGTGATAATGTCTCCGTCAGAAATTTACACAAAACAAATTGTTTGTTTTTTTTTTTTTTATTGCTTAGATGGGTGGGCGAGCTCACAGCCCACCTGGTGTTAAGTGGTTACTGAAGCCCATAGACATCCACATTGTAAATGCGCCACCCACCTTGAGATTTAAGTTCTAAAGTCTCAGTAGAGTTACAATGGCTGCCCCACCCTCCGAACCGAAACGCATTACAGAAATAGGCGGGGTGGTGGTACCTACCCGTGCGGACTCACAAGGGATCCTTACCACCAGTAAAAAATTGTGTAAATTGCACTAATAAACATACTATCTGATTCATTTTCATCATTCGTTTTGTTCTTAAATCTTCTAAGGCTCTCTCTATCGTATAATTGTCTATTTGACGATCTTCTAATTTCTCTTTGTGCAGCCTCCTTAATTTCATTTCTTGTCCTTCCAGAAAGTTCGTTTTATTTGTCATCTGCTGTTTCTTCTTCTTTACAATTTCTGCGAATCACATTTTCGACTATAACAACAATTATTTTACGTTTAGTATTTTCTTCAGCTTTACAAGTTGACGTAATTAAGACCGTATATTCAAATGTCTACGAATATGTAATACCTTATTATTATTATTGTTGTTGAAGTTATACTTCTTTAGGCGCGTTACGAAAAATTCATGAGAGTGAAATTTTACGATGCACGCGCACCGTGACACAAAATTAACAGAATGAAGTTGCCCACTAAATCGCTCATTACAATACGACCGACGTAACTTGGCGAGTCTGAATATAGCCGCAGGTGAACTTTCCGAACCGTACCGAGAATTACCGAATTTATACGATGTCAAGAAAAGGGATGTCCAATATGCGTTTGAGGATGTTATTTAATCGATTTTTTTTCAAATTCATTAAAATATAAATAAAAAAAAAAAATTAACTTCTTACGCGCGTACATAAATACACGCACCTTGTTTGTTTTTATAACTCTTTAAGCTTAGATCCAAAGATAATTTTATTTTTAACCTACTTTATCAAATTCGAGATAATAATGATAACGTTTAGACCTTCATTATAATCTTCTTCCATTTTCTTCTTAATTTTTTCTATTTTTTCCTTCTCTTCCTGTCTTTCTTCTTTCATAACTTGCTGTCTCTTACTATTGGCACTAGCGATTTGCTCGTCATAAGCTCTTCTTCTTTCTTTCATCTCTTGCTGCTTCCTTTCTGCGTGTTCCTTTTCGTATTTTTCCTAAATAATAATGAGTATTATTGAAAAGATGAATGCATATCATTATTTTTTTATGTCTAGTACAGTTGACCTCCAATCTTCAAATAAGAATTTTATTCTAATAGGCAGTGACTCTGGTCCCTAGCTGGGCGGTATGCCTGACACTACTGTTGTTGTTGAGTTATAAGTAAATAATTAAGCATCTGACGCGGGAAGATGGATGGGTAATAAGCTTCTGTCAGTTTTAAGATCAATAAAATTCGTGCCACCACAATTGGTGCAAGATATATCAAATTTTAGATTCCTTCTCTCTATACTCTTACGTAACTCGTTACCTTTCTGTATGCGTCGTCCAGAAGAACTTGGTGCCACATCATGTCCTTAACGTATTCTTCTTTTTCTATATTACGTTTCTCTTCCATCTGCATCTTCTGCATTTCCCTCAAACGTATTTCGTCCTGTTTCTTGCTCATCATGCCGTTGGAACTTGAATCCAAAAAATTAAATCATTTACATTTATAAGTGGGTATCATTTAGGCACATTTATACATTTGTAGTTCATATTTCAAAGTGGGTGGCGGCATTTACGTTTTAGATGTCTATGGGCTCCAGTAACCACTTAACATCAGATGGGTTGTGTGATGATAATTAATTATTGCAGGATACATTACAGGATACACCCTTAAGAAAGTTGTAAATTATCTCACCTCAGAGTATGAAAAATGTTATCTTAATCAAAATTTTAATTTTATATAGTATCCTACTCACATTTTTTCTCTTTCTAAAGCTTTAAGACATTCTCTTATCTTCTCTTGTTCTAACTCCTCGTTATAACTGGCGATCTTTCTATCTCTTTCTTTACAATACCCGCATTCTTCCATTCTCTTCCTGCTCATCAATGCTTGATTAAATTCTTCTTCTTCTCTCTCCAACAACGCTTTTAGCTTGCATCTTCTTTGTCATAGATTGTGTTCTTCTAGATGTAATAACTCTTCTACTTTTTCACTTGTTTTGTTAATTATTAATCTATAAATATATTTTATTATCAATTAAATAGGACTTTTTGGCGGGAACGCGAGGAGTGAGGTTGTGTGATTTGTTTTATTTTGTCTATCTAGTGTTTGTTCAGGTTTAAATGTGTAATAATGGTGGTTTGTTAACTGTTTAATATCTGTGAAAGTGCACAAATATGGTAAAATGAAACAAAGCCGCTCGATCAGGATCCTCCAAAAAGTCCTCTGAAAATTTTTCAGTAAATGACCACCATTTTACTGAGATCATATTTCATCCCATATCATCTCATTTCATTTCATTTCACTCCATATTATCATTTTTCATAAAAATATGAATATAAATTAATATAAGACAAGACTTAAAGGTCTTAGTTACCAGGTCATATAATCTCTTAAAACAAAAAACGATTAAATAGTTGAGACTTGTGACGGCTTTGAAATTGGGTATTGATTAAAAACGAGAATCGTGGTAAGAACAAAACAAACTTAGCATACTTACTTCTGTAAATGTATCGAATCGTAATCAACAATATCAGTTTGTTTCTTCATATCTTCCACGTCGATAACTGCTTTCATATCCGAGCGCTTGCGCTCCTGAAACAAATTCAACAATTCAATCGATTTTCGATTAAAATCGATTGAAAAAAAATCAGAACTGTTTGAGATGATCCCCTCATCTCCTTTTTATCATCGCACCTCCCGCCATCGGAGCAGAGTTCATCCATATTATTTGGAACCGCTGCGTTCATCGAAAGTGAGTTTCCAGAGGTCTTTTTTGCCACGTACCATCCGGCTATGGAATGAGCTTCCCTCCACGGTGTTTCCCGACTGCTATGACATGTCTTTCTTCAAACGAGGCTTATGGAGAGTATTAAGCGGTAGGCAGCGGCTTGGCTCTGCCCCTGGCATTGCTGAAGTTCACGGGCGACGGTAACCACTCACCATCAGGTGGGCCGTATGCTCGTCTGCCTACAAGGGCAATGAAAAAAATCGATTGAAATAGATCGTTATTTTTAATTGAGTGACCTAGTAAGGTCATAGGGTCATATGCAGGTCACAGGTCATAGGTAGTAGGGTCATGCAAGGTTTCTACTTCGGCCCACGGACAGTAGTAATGCTAGGCACATGCCAATGATGGGATTGAAAATGCCAATGCTAGGAGCAATATTGGAATAAAGCTAGTTTAGAAACGCAAAAGGCATAAGACAAAATTAGTGTTCTGTGGTTAGCAGATCGTTGACGTAAATATAATTTTGGTATGCAGATGATGACATTTTCGCAGAATTAACCATTAAGCTATATGAATTTCATTGATTAAAATATCGCCTCTACAATGGAATTCGAATAAAATACATTGAATTCCCGAAGTCTACACCTTATCAACATGCTCCGGACAGTGAAAAGTACCAGTTTTTAGAGGTTTTATAGTTATAACGCAGTTGCGTGCGATGAAGAAGATTGAGACTTATCGAACACCTCATATCCCCTTTTTTTTTTTTTTTTTTTTATTGCTAGATGAGTGGACGAGCTCACAGCCCACCTGGTGTTAAGTGGTTACTGGAGCCCATAGACATTTACGACGTAAATGCGCCACCCACCTTGAGATATAAGTTCTAAGGTTTCAAGTATAGTAACAACGGCTGCCCCACCCTTCAAACCGAAACGCATTACTGCTTCACGGCAGAAATAGGCAAGGTGATGGTACCCACCCGCGCGGACTCACAAGAGGTCCTACCACCAGTAATTACGCAAATTATAATTTTGCGGGTTTCATTTTTATTACACGATGTTATTCCTTCACCGTGGAAGTCAATCGTGAACATTTGTTGAGTACGTATTTTATTAGAAAAATTGGTACCCGCCTGAGATTCGAACACCGGCGCATCGCTCAACACGAAGGCATCGGACGTCTTATCCGTTAGGCTACGACGACTTATAGTGATTATGAAATCCGACAAGTCAAACAAACCGCCAGACCTCAAGATACTACTAGTTCATTCTGTGTGAAATGAAACGTAAAAGTCTAGAAATCATTTCTGTCATAATGGACATAGATTATACACTTAATATATTCGAGATAGATGCGCAACTCTCATTTTTATTTTTGCTTTAGTTAAAGCCCGGTCCAGCAGGCGTCGCTACGGTCGATTATTAGTCTCCCTACCCCCCACCAGGTGGCTTTTTTAGTAATTTTAATATTTTTAATAACTCTCTTTATGAAAAAATCTTTTCGTTTAGAATCGCTGAAATTCCCGGTAGTACTTATGAGATATTAAGGAATGTTTGATTATGTTCAGCATTCTAATTGATAAGATCTTTTCATACAGAGAGAAAACAGTTTTTTAAAATAAAAAGCTGTAATTCTCTGTAAGCTATTTAATTTCCCTATATTACAAACAATTTTCTGTTAAAAGATTGTATGAACGTACAATTGTATAAAATTTCGAATAACAATAACTCCTCTAGATTAATCCTACTAGCGTACACATTAAATCGAAAGTTATCTAAAAGTTAATNTTTTTTTTTTATTTTTTTTTTGGTTTCATGTGTGTTTTAATGTTTCCGAAGCGAAGCGAGGGCGGGTCGCTAGTATTGGAATAAAGCTAGTTTAGAAACGCAAAAGGCATAAGACAAAATTAGTGTTCTGTGGTTAGCAGATCGTTGACGTAAATATAATTTTGGTATGCAGATGATGACATTTTCGTAGAGTTAACCATTAAGCTATATGAATTTCATTGATTAAAATATCGCCTCTACAATTGAATTCGAATAAAATACATTGAATTCCCAAAGTCTACACCTTATCAACATGCTCCGGACAGTGAAAAGTACCAGTTTTTAGAGGTTTTATAACTGCGTGCGATGAAGATGATTGAGACTTATCGAACACCTCATATCCTCTTATAGTGATTATGAAATCCGACAAGTCAAATAAACAGCCAGACCTCAAGATACTACTAGTTCATTCTGTGTGAAATGAAACGTAAAAGTCTAGAAATCATTTCTGTCTTAATGGAGGTCGTCTGTGACCACGAAAACGTTAAGCTAGTCGTAACATCAGCAATAATATAATGACGATAAAAATAAGAGATTAAATCGTAAAAGTAGTTTCAAAAATACTGCTAGTATTAATAACATATTTGTAGAAAAAAATATATTAAACTATCTTACCCGCCAAAACTGTTTGGGATGCCCGAAGTAAATTTGACACGCAACGTTCTTTGATTGTCTTAAACCAACCATTTTCTCTCTTAAACTCGAAGAGCGACTGTGACTATTACCGATGTTTTAAGTATCGATCCAACATGTTACTTTGGTAACAGTTCAACACTATAGACGCCTATTAATATAGGTGGTGTAACATAAGAATAGGTATCTGTCTCTCTCATTTACAGCGTGTTACAGAGATGGTAGAAAGAGACAAAAAATAAAATAATGCGTTTTAGTTGTACGATTTTATTAGAGACGCTTATAAATTTAGGTATGTGCGAAAGTTAATATGTTTATCTCTTTCAATAGTTCCCGTTAGAGAGAGATAGACAACATTGCTGAAAGGTAAAAAATAGAAGGTTTATCTATTTTTGAGATGGTCCATTGCCATCATCATATATGAAGTGGTTATTGTAACTCGTAAAGATCATAAAGTGAATATCACTGGTCCTGGACTGCTACTGCTGGTAGGATCTCTATCCGCTCGCTTGCTCTAAGGGCATTTTGACCTTCACCCTCAAGTGCCCGAATGTTTTTTGTTAAGTGGCCGACCGTTTTTTTTTAACTGCGCCGCACGTGTAGGTACCACCGCCCTGCCTATTTCTGCCGTGAAGCAGTAATGCGTTTCGGTTTGAAGGGTGGGGCAGCCGTTGTAAACTGATACATTACAACTCATACCTCAAGGTGGATGGCGCATTTACGTCGTAGACGTCTACGGGTTCCAGTAACCACTTAACGCCAGGTGGGCTGTGAGCTGGTCCACCCATTTAAGCAATAAATAAAAAAAAAAAACTAAGTTATCTAGTTCATAAAGAGAGGATTGTGAAATGAAGGAGAGCCCCTGTAATTTGATTATTTAATTTATTTGAATAAACAATTGAACATGCTATGTTTACTTCTTATTAATATGTTTATATACACAATTTACGGAACTATTACACTATTACGACTATATACAGTTTATATACAAACGTTTTGCATGTGTTTCATGTATTGTAGAAGGGTTTTATTGATGTGAAGCTTCTCTAAAATCACCACTAATATATTCAGGGCTTGTGCCGCACCTAATAATCGCATTCTATAAGAAATACTCTTCACTCAATGTTTACTATATCTATATTTCTTCTAGTATTATAAGAAATCCGTCACGTGTATCACTAGGGCCGCAATAAAACGCAGGGCTTGACGAATAAATTAACCCACAGACACAGCCCACTTAGTTTTTCGCCGGATCTTCTCAGTGGGTCGCGTTTCCGATCCGGTGGTAGATTCTGCGAAGCACTGCTCTTGCTAGGGCTAGTGTTAGCAACGTCTCGACTATAAAAGCGTTGCAGAGATAGCACGCAGTCAATTAGAAACAGCGAATGGATCACCTGAAGCGAAGCGAAAGAAGCGAATTGAAAATTTTAAAGTGTATAAAGTGTTGAATTGAATGAAGTGTTAACTTGTAATTGGATAGAATTTTATTTATCCCGAACCCCAGCGCGTAACACTATTTTTACCATCGCCCGTGCCCACAAAAACTGTAAAGTATCCGTACTCTAAGGTAACGTCGGGAATAATCTACAGACACTAATATATAAATCTAGAGTGATTTTTACGGATGTTCCGTTATAACTACTGAACCATGCATCCGATTGACTTTAAACTTGGTATCCATGTAGAAAATACATGTACTTAATGGATAGGCTAATATTTATACAAGTGTTGGACTCCCTACACCAGTTGCGGGGGCGTTAATGATGAGTATTTTTTTGGGGAGTGAGAAATAATAATGTTAATTTTAAATGCCCAGCGAAGGGTACAGCTAGTATAATATAATGATAATGAAAACATAAAATTAAACCGTAAAACAGTTTTAATTACGTCTACGTCTCACGAAAATCGAAGAACACACAATAAGACTAGTTCTACATGTTCTAAGTGTTGACGATAAAATGCAATATTCTACAGTGTGAACTCATGCTAAGATGACACAAACATACATTCCAATGTTCTATGGTATTAAACTTACATTATGTATATACACTATCACAGAATTACTTTAAACATAAGCTTACATATATGTTTTCCTCTAAATTAATATTACATAAGTATATTAATGGAATCGTATTTAACTTAGTTATTATCAATCTATAAAATACACAAAATAAAATATTTTTTTACAAATAAATTATCTAAGGCTAGTTACTAAATTCATTTTATTAGATCCTAAATTGAATTATATTCTAAAATCTCAATAACATAATTTACATATGGCAGAGTTTTATGTTACTCACTAAAATAAAGGAAGAATGGTAATGCTTAATTAAAAACTTACACGGACATGATTCATTTTTCGTCCACAATACCACAGGAAATAGATCTTAGGTAGAAATCTATTCTACCTTTTTATTTATTGCTTAAATGGATGGAAGAGCTCACAGCCCACCTGGTGTTAAGTGGTTACTGGCGTCCATAAACATCTACAACGGAAATGCGCCGCCCACCTTGAGATATAAGTTCTAAAGTGTCAGTATAGTTACAACGGCTGCCCCACCCTTCAAACCGAAACGCATTACTGCTTCACGACTGAAATAGGCAGTGTGGTGGTACCTACCCGTGCGGACTCACAAGACGTCCTACCACCAGTAATTACGCAAATTATAATTTAATAAGATGTCTAATAAGATATAATTGTTGGAATGGTGATGTTTTGAATAGAGAAATTAGTGTTTTTTTTCTAAAACCATACATTGGAGAATGTTCATTCTGTATTTACAATTAAAAAAAAAAACGAGTCATCTACAAATAAAATCACTATAGTCTTAACTGACTTAACTTATTTAATCACTGGAATGACTAAAACGCACAAAAGAATACAGAAGAAACCTTAAGTACCTACTGTAGGAAAGAGAATTGTAGCAGACAAAAATTATAATTGTTCAACTATCGAAAATATTCTTCATATTATATCTGTGTTGGATTCGACCATATTTCTCATTATCATCAGCCTTTATCTGCCCACTGCTGGACATAGCTCTCAAAGTCAGCAAGCTAAAGTGGCAATGAGCCGGTCACGTCTGTCGAACCAACGACGCCAGGTGGGGGAGGAAATCCTCGAATGAAGGCCACGGATGGGTACCAGGAGCGTGGGGCGTCCTCCAACCAGGTGGACTGCCGACTTAGTGCGCACGGCGGGAAGTCGTTGGATGCGGAAGGCGGAGGACCGCATTCTGTGGAAGGCATTGGGGAAGGCCTATTTCTCATCAATTTCCCGCTTTTATTTCCGAACTGATTGGTTCCGTGAAATCATTGGATACGCCGCTTTGCATTGAGCAAAAGCTTGCTGGCGAACTTCTATTGCTGTCCTTTTCCTGCATATCAGCAACGCTGCTGCTCGAGTGAGGCAGGAAACGAAAACAAGGTTTCACGTTCATCTTGCTCGGCTTCTTCAATAGTTCTTCTATTGAATAGGGATTCTTCTTTTTCTCCCTTTCGTCAACCATTTTCGGTTCGATCTCTTCTTGTTCGGGCTTATCTGTGCTATCATCGCTGGCGTCAATCGATATATGCTCGGAGTCTTCTGATTTAGCATCCGAATTCATTTTGAGCAGGTCATTGTGAAGTGCCAAAGCGTATGGTGGGAATTCTTTGCTGTCGTACGGTGAAACCAGACGCTGCCAGGGCGATATCGGGTAAGGCTTCAGCAATCCCTGGGTCTGGACTTGGTTAGCCAGGAACCAGGATGTGGCGAGTCGTCTGTCGTAAATCCTGGGTTCTGTTGACTGTAGGGGCACACGTACTGCGGGGTGGATCAGGTAGGGGGGATTCTGTTGCGGTAGAAGCGTTGGGGTCATGTAGTCTAGCACATTTGGCGGCTGTTCCGGCGGTGCATAGGATTCTGTAATGAATATAAACAAAATCAGTACAGGGTAAAAACGCTGAAGTGCTTTTAAACCAGTGTTTCCCACCGTGGGACCCATGCTCCACAAGGGGGCAATTTGAAAATTAAGGGGGACAATCGCGCTAAATGAATATAGACATACTGTATTAAAATTATCTTAAATTTGAATTTCAGTTTTTTATTATATGTTTTGAAATATTACTTACTGTATTATGATAACGATTTCATAGTGTTTTTTTTTCTAAAACCTATCAATTATATTTCTTTAGTGAACAAATCAATATTTTAATGTTAAAAATTATGTATGGGGTGCATAAAAATTTTAAAAATGTTACAGTGGGGCATGGCACAAAAAGGTTGGGAAACACTGTTTTAAAGGAATTTGTAAGGCTCTTGACTCATTCTCAGGGAAATCATGGAAGCTATTGATTGTATGAAAATTGTAAGTACAAGTATGATATACAAGACTGTATTTTTGGTAAAAGCTATTCGGACCCAGAAATTTATTGGCGGATAACTCATAGCAGTCGAAAATCAAAATCGTAGGAAAAGATTACCGTGTCCTCTGCCTTCATCGTCGTTCCAAGCCAGCCCGCTGTTCCGAAGGATTCGGTTCACTGAAGATACTGACGGTATAGAATGTGGTTCGCACACTCTAGCGCTGAGGAGTCGTTCTCTGATCTCCCACGCAAACATTCCTGGATTCTCCTGTTTTAATCGGAGTATCTTCTTGACTACAGTCGGTGTTGCCACTTGCTGAAGGAAAAACAAAAATGGTATTAATAATTAAACGTATTACAACTAGTACAGTAGTAAGTTTTTATATTTCCCAGAATTTCTGTAAATTAAACGGTTGTCTGGAAGAGATCGCTTTTAGCGATAAGACCGCCTATTGTACAAATGTATTTGCTTTTTGACTGTTCTTTGAATGTAAATTGTATTTTGGTGTGCAATCAAGTGTATTCTCTCTCTCTCTCTGTCTCTCTCTCCCTTTCTCTCTCTCTAAAGCTATTACAGTTTTATCTCGCGTTTCCATTGTCGCTATGGTATTAATTTGGTCACTTCAATTGGCTGCGTGTTGGCCTAGACAGCACCACCCAATCTGTCTTTAAAACTAAGGCGTATTATATTATCTTTGAATACCAATACTAGTGATAGGACCTCTTGAGTCCGCGCGGATAGGTACCACCACCCTGTCTATTTCTGCCGTGAAGCAGTCATGCGTTTCGGTTTGAAGGGTGGGGCAGCCGTTGTAACTATACTGAGACCTTAGAACTTATATCTCAAGATGGGTGGCGCATTTACGTCGTAGATGTCTATGGGCTCCAGTAACCACTTAACACCAGGTGAGCTGTGAGCTCGTCCACCCATTAAAGCAAAAAAAAAAAAGAATGCATTTAGTGGTGGTAGGGAATATTGCGCCACCATTTATTTCTGTTGGAAATAACCTCGCGTTTCGGGTTTAAAAGGTGGGGCAGTGGATGTATTGAATTCAATTGATTGAACTGATTTGGTTGTGCAGTAGTTGCGCCCCTGTCTGTTGTACCGAGGGTCGTGGGTTCGATTCCCGTCTCAGGCAAGCATTCGTGTGGTGAACAGTTTTGTTTGCTCTTTGTCTGGGTGTTTGTTATCTATATATGTATATATTTAACGTATATAAGCACGTAAGTCCCTTAACACAGGGAATTCTAATTCGTGGCCAGATGAGTGTGTGAGTTATTCCCAATGGTTATTATTAAGTTAAATACTAAATTTATAGTAAGGTCTCTTATATGTAATGCTTTTGTAAGTTGTATAGTAAGGGCGGGGCAGCCGTTGCAACTATACTGAGACCTTAGAACTTATATCGCAAGGTGCGTGGCGTAGACGTTGTATGTCTATGGGCTCCAGTAGCCACTTAACGCTAGGTGGGCTGTGAGCTTGTCCACCGATCTAAGGAATAAAAAAAAACAAATGTCTATTTTGTGTGTCTTTAAAAAAACATCTACCACGCTTAATGACTTTTATTTGAAAGAAATTAAATTACATGAAATTTCGGACCGATTAACTCACGAATTTTCTATTGGAGACCTGTACTGTACGCGGTTCGAATTTTGACTGACTTTTTGCTTTGAAAATGTAATGAATTAGATAAAAACTCCGAAACGACCAAATATCGATTTGCTAAGTGCCTAATAAGTACATAGAAATAAAGGCTATACCAGTATCGACGCTAAAGAAATTGTTCGCGCATTAGTTTTTAATATTTTGATAATTATATCCGGACACGAACGAAGTCATCTGCACCAATAATTGCTACCGAACAATCGCTAAGAAAAAAATCCATTACGTTTTCGACCCAAAACCCAGTGCCTGAACAGTGTTAAAAATAATTGCAGCTCACCTAAGTAGCCTGTCAAAATTGACGTTTAAATGACAGGTTAGACTAGTGGGGTGCGTAACCGCAACACGATTCCAAGGAACTATCCGAAAACTATTCATTATATCATTAAGTTTATCGATTTTCATTGACCGTTTGATTTAATGTTCTTTTTAACAAAAGACGCATCCGCAACGCACCGTGTCATTATTCTAAGATGTTCGGTAATTTCGCTGTCATAATATTTATTGATATGCTTCTTTCGAGATTCTATTGAATAGAAAGATTATGATTTTAATTGTTGGTGGTTAGATGAGAGTGTGAAAATGATGTATTTATTTTTTATTGAATATGAAACACTACTTGTGNATTTAATGTTCTTTTTAACAAAAGACGCATCCGCAACGCACCGTGTCATTATTCTAAGATGTTCGGTAATTTCGCTGTCATAATATTTATTGATATGCTTCTTTCGAGATTCTATTGAATAGAAAGATTATGATTTTAATTGTTGGTGGTTAGATGAGAGTGTGAAAATGATGTATTTATTTTTTATTGAATATGAAACACTACTTGTGATTGGAATCAAATCAACAGTGCCTCATAATTGCCTATGAATTTGAATTGAATGCGCCTCAAATTTTACTTTGTTTTATTTATTGCTTAAAGTATATTCTTGGCAATATCTCTCAGTGGGTCGCGTTTCCGATCCGGTGGTAGATTCTGCGAAGCACTGCTTTTGCTAAGGCCAGTGTTAGCAAAACACCAGGTTTGAGCCCCGTGAGAACCTGAAAGAACGGAGGAAAGAACCAAGGAGAACCTGAAAGCCTCTCAAGGCTATCAGCATACGTAGGAAAAAAAACAATGGCAATATCAACATTACTTTCGTATCAACTGTACTTGGACAAAGCTTGGCGTCTATGTCGTACATAATAAACATAGCTCACAGAAGTGGATTCAACTTCAACACACTTCTAAAGCCCAACACGTGATGTAAAATGATCCGGCGATTCAAGTCGAAGCCTGAAGAAAGGATACCTTTTCGTATGATATTAATGAATTTTGGTTCACGTTTTTCCCTGTGAACGGCGGTATTTAATTGGTGATTTATGTAGGGTAGGTAGAATATTAAGGAAATGACAAAGGAAAGATCTTCTAAGAACCGGTGTGATTGCCTGATAGACTGACTGTCTAAATTATGTTCACTCGAACTTATATGCAAGCTTTCTTTGAGCACCTAGTTAGTGGGATTCAGATTCTTTTCTATGATAGATACGGTATTAGCCGGAAAATATTTCGTAACTAAACAATAGGTATAGAGTCACCGAATAAAAAACCAGTAGCGAACAAAACATCGCTATTATCATCGTAAGCAAACATCTAAGCGCCATGTTATTACCCAAAAGAACATTTCATTACATTATATCTGTAATATTGTGTGATAAGATCGTGAGAGATCGTGAGACCGTTCAGCTGTTCTGAATCGATTCACGGGCTTTGCTCGTTACTCGATTATTATAATATCGATAATAACTGATTGTATCTTGTGTGATGCCAAAAATTGATAACCATCACAAAAGTATTGGAAGTACTGAAAAGTGTTGCTATAGACAGCGAATTGGTTTTACACTCCTGGTATTGCTGACGACGATGAACTACTGTGATCGCTCACTATCAGTTCGTCTACTTTCAGAGACAATAAAAAAGTATAACGATATGAGATCTTTCCATTTCTGCGGCGATCTTAAAGCAAAATCAAAATAATTTGGTTGCTTCTAAATAATTTGGTTCGTCTTTTGCTGTCGAAGCAAGGGCGGATCCAGATTTGGCGCCAGGAGGGGGTCACATAGTCGATAGATAATAAATAAATCATGATGTTCTTCAATTAGTCCAAGTTAGTTCAAGTCCTGGAACTAGCTCAGGGGGGGTCATGACCCCCATGACCCCCCCCATGACCCCCCCCTGGATCCGCCGTTGTGTCGAAGCTAAATAATACTAGTTGGTATGAACTTGTTTAAATGCAGTCATGAGGCTTTATTTCTTAGATCACGGGTGGACGAGCTCACGGCCCAATTGGTGTTAAGAGTTTACCGGAGCCCATAGACATCTACAGCGTAAATGCCACCATTTCGGTTTGCAGGGTAGAGCAGCCGTTGTACTGTAAAAACTAAGGCCTTAGAACTTTTGCCCCAAACGTTATCATGAAATCAATCGAAATATTATCTGTGTGATAATATATAAACTGCGTAGAAAAAAGAACTAACGTGATCTTTCACTGTATCTGTTTATTACAATACGAAAAACCATGAAATTGAATTTATAAATAAACGTAAATTTAATAATCGTGAACAGATCAAATAATATTTTTAAATACTTCCGTGAAAGATAATTAATACATTTTATCTTTCAAGCTCATTGAAGTATGAAACCTATCTATGCTCAAGCTATACTCAAACGTCAGAAAACAATCTTATTTTTAATTTGACAGTTACATAATAGCATTAGAAAAAAAATGCAGTAAATATTGTGCTATCTTCTTCTTTGTTTTTTTTTCAGTATGGCANCAAATAATATTTTTAAATACTTCCGTGAAAGATAATTAATACATTTTATCTTTCAAGCTCATTGAAGTATGAAACCTATCTATGCTCAAGCTATACTCAAACGTCAGAAAACAATCTTATTTTTAATTTGACAGTTACATAATAGCATTAGAAAAAAAATGCAGTAAATATTGTGCTATCTTCTTCTTTGTTTTTTTTTCAGTATGGCAATCCGCTTCCTGTGATGCCATTCGTGCAAGTGTAGAGTTAAAATCTTAAAGTATTTTATACTTACAAGTTTTTATTTTTATGAAAAATTATAGGAAGTGGATGAGATAGAGTTGCATTATTTGACATCAATTGGGTTGACATTAAACGAAACGAGATGACGTAAAATGGTAATAGCTTATTGAGACCACTGTGGACTTTTGGGAAGAATACAAATTTTCATACAACAAACCGGTTTTTTTTTAAATGCATGCCGTCGGCTGATGTGTTATAATATGTTGGTACCTAATAAATAAAATAAATACGAAAAGCCATGTCTAGCGAGTTTTTTTTTTTCGTTTTTCCATACGATACCACTTTCAGATATGCTCAACATTCAATGAGCCGGTATTATTACTCGGCTAATAAAACAATTCACACAATTTCCCCTCTCACATTCCCGCCAAAAAGCCTTAATGTGTTGTCAATTTTTTTTTACTTTTTATTGCCTGAGTGCTGTCATTAATAAAACGTATTGTAATATAATCTATGGCAAGCCACCGTTGACACATATCGACGAAATAAGGAAGGTCCCAAAAAACCAAAACAAATTTATCTGACATCCTACCTATCGAGTGCAATTTCCA